CCCATGAACCCTTGATAAATTATAAATTATGGTGTTCATATCTTACACCAGAGGTCCTCAAACTATGGCCCACGGGCCACATGCGGCCCACCAAGGACACTTATCCAACCTGCCGGGTGTTTTTGCCCCATTTTGTTTTTTTACTTCAAAATAAGATATGTGCAGTGTCATAGGAATTTGTTCAGTTTTTAAAAAAAAAAAACTATAGTCCGGCCCTCCAACGGTCTGAGGGACAGTGAACTAGCCCCCTGTTTAAAAAGCTTGAGGACCCCTGTCTTACACTATCTGCTGTCTCACTTCACCCATGTTTCTATTGTTCATCCCGCTCTGGCAGGATGGGGCAGGGGTGAATATGTCGATCCTTGCAATTAGTTTCCCCCTGCTCTCCCTTCTCCCTTCCCCCTATCGCTAATCCCATACTGTTCCTGAGGGGTTTATCTGTCCGGATTCCGTGTGTTGAGAGGTCTTATCTGTACCAGTGTACATACTCCGGGTCTAGTGGAGTTTGTAAGGTAGAACTGGGGTCATGATAGTGGGGTGAAGGAAGTGTTAAAGAACTAGAGGAATGCTGTGTGTTTCGTTAGTGCTATACTACTCCCTAGCTGACTTCCTTGTGACCCTTCTGTGAGGGGGTATACAATTGTCTACAGATGGGCTTTGGGTCTACACTATGACCCCACTCATTTGCATTAGTATGATTGTTTTGGGTCTTCTGATGCCTGATACCTGATCCTGTCGACACCTCATGATCACACAGGCTGGTGTGCTTCTTCCATGTGGGCTTTGTTGCTTCCCTCCTAGATAGCTGCTTGTTTAACTTCAAGCCTTTAAAACCTCAGATTCTATGTCTTGTAATACCTGGCACCATCAGCTTTCTTCACATTTGCTTATGCACCCATTTTGTCTTCTGTGATCACTTTAGGAAGGTGAGTGTCACAGAATACCAGGTTACTAGAACAAAATGTCCTTGCATTGAAGGCGGACTTGAGTAGAGGCCTGATGTCCATCTGCTTCTTTAATACTTAACATATAAATGTATGTACATAGGCCTATATCCCCATCATTATACATACATTTACATATGAACATGCCTACATTTAAACCTCTATAAATGTCTTTCGCCTCCTAGCTCTTTCCTCTATTTCCTTTTACTTCCCTCCTTTCCCAATATCATGTTTGGCCTTATTTTGGGTTTCAGTAATTCCTCTCAGCTACATTGCCCTTGATCAAACCCCACCAGGCATTTCACACCCTCCTTGCCATCAATTTTAGATCTCTTGTTGTTCCCTTGTCTCTGGGTTTGTTGGCTCCCCACTCCCCACTGTCCCCTGGAACCACCAGTCCGTTGTTTTCTCCTCGGGATTGTTTATCTTGCCTGTCTTATAAAAAAGAAGAAAAAGGGGGCACACCTAATCCTCCACAAATAGTTCCAGGTCTGCCTGCTAACCCTTATGTATGTTTTCAGATCAAGTCTGACGAGGTGCCAACACCTGCCCTCCACATCTGAAGCCGAATTTCAGGATTCCTTGAGGACGTTGTCGCTCTGCTCCCCTTGTTCCTCTGCTGTGCTCCCTTTTTGTTTCACCCGGTTGGGTGGGGGTGGGGGTGGTCAGACTAGGCACAATTCTGCTGTGGATCGGTGAGGGGAGGATGCAAATCTTTACAAAAGCAGATTGCCATATGTTTCTCTTGCAGAATAGGTAGTGGGTTCAAACTTCCAGCCTTTAGGATAGTAGCCAAGTATTGTAATCACTGTGCTGTGCCGCCATTTACTCTCCTGTCTAGTTGTCAATCACTGACCTAAGAGCATTAACTTTTCCATTCACTGACCGACAGGAGAAAAGGGGAATGGAAGGCCTTGCTTTAAGATCTAGGAGAGAAAGGATGAAGGACTGAGAGCAGTCTTCGATCTTGGGAATTAGATTTCCAAGTGCAGAAGAAAGCAAGCCACACACACAGACACAGAAAACAAAAAATTGATATGGACTTAAATGTGAAAACTAAGCCCATAAAATTATGAAAAGAAAAAGGAAAGGAGGCAATGCAATCTTAACAGTGCTTTGTCAGATATAATCCCCCAAAAGCATGAACATAAAAAAATCAAAATAAAGAAATATGGCCTCATAAAAATTAAAATATTTTTTCAACAGAGAATTTTATTTTAAAAATGAAAAGATAATCTACAGATTGGGAGATGATTCTGGGGGGATAATATATTGGATAAGTGTTCATAACATATAAGATAATTCTACAACTTAACAAAAAGATATATAATCCACTCAAAAATTGGGCAAAGGACTTGAACAGACATCAAAGAGAATATTCAAATGATTAAATTGTATGATATGTGAAGTACATGTCCATGACACTATTTTTTTAAAAGAAGGGTATTCAGTGGGAACTACATAGGAAATATGCCTCTGATGACTCCCTCTATCCACAATTGAGGGAGGGGAGGAAAGTGGCTACGAAACAGAGTGCACTGGGGAGATGAGTATAGAAGATCAAAGGCATAACTCTGACTTAACAGTTAAAACTTTTGTCAGTTGATCCCTCCTTCGATGCATGCTGGACCTGATCTGGTTTCCAACATTTTCTGTATTTTTGTTTTGTTTTTGTTGTTCATATTAGAATGTATCTCAGAGGTGTTATGCCACTGGAGGTCACCCTCTTGAAGTTGTGTTGTTATGTTTTTCTGTTTTTCGGTACATGAAACCCAGGGACAGCTTGTAGAATAAGGGTTTCGAGGAGTTCAGGGGCAAAAAAGAATGTTTAAAAACTGACTGTGGTAGCAATCTATACAATTTTGCTTGACATGATTGAACTATGAAATGATATATGTATTAACTCCTAATTAATAATAATTTTTTAAAGGCAGATATTCAAATGGCTAACAAGCACATAAGAAGATGCTCTATGTTGTAAGCCATTGCTTCTTGTAGCTCAAATCAAAACCACAATACGATACTAATTCATCCGTATTAGAAAGGCAATGGCACAAAAAGTAGAAATCAACAGGTGTTGATGAGGGTTGTAAAGGAACTGGAACCCTCATCCATTGCTGGAAGAAAGGTCAAATGGCCCGCCACTGTGGAAAAATTAGCTCCTCAAAGGATGAACTCATGCATACCAATGACCCTGACAGAAACACAGCGCTGGCCAGCATTTCATTCTGCTACACATCAGGTCTTCACGAGCCAGGGATGACCCAACAGCAACTATCAACACGCTGCACCAAAACCTTCCCACATTTCACTAATGCTATCCCTCCTTAAAGAAACACACAAAGCATGTTGTCTTTATAGCCATATAAAATTTTATCAACTGTTTTAAATTAACTCAATTGTTTATCCTATAAAATATATTTAATGACTAGTAATTCAGGGTTCCGGAGTTCTGGTCTCATTTTTGCTACTAGAACCATATGGTCTTAAGTAAGTCCTTCACGTTTTCTGATTTTAGCTATGAAAAAGAAGGTATAAAACCTTTTATTATTAGAATTCCTTCCAATTATAATAATATACAATTACTTTTCCTGATTTTATAAAAAGCTCAGAATTACAATTATAACATCTGCTTGATTTGTGTGTGTGTGTGTGTGTGTGTGTGTGTGTGTTACCCCTGTCTCTTAGTGCTGATTCACCCTCAGGTATAACGGAAATGCTAATTGGAATGGTAAGCCTAAGGGGGTAAAATTCTTATTTATATCTATTTCTTAAATACCTTATCTCCTTTATGAAATTATAAATTTCTTCATATTTAGAAGCATCTGTTTTGAACAAAGTTTTTTAAAAATAAAAGTTGTTAATATTATTAAATAAGAAAGGTTTGCCATATTTGCCAAATTGAATATCATGTTGTTTTCTAAGTGTTTTGCTCATTCTATCCCCTCTAATTGGAATATAATCTTTCTTATTGTAAATAAGTTTCTTGAATTACTTATACTACAGCCAGGCAAATTTATGTGGCTTTGAGAGGAGGAGGGAGAATGTTGAAAGGATATTAACAAATCTTTAAGTATTGTATGTACTTGGCTCCTATATAAGAGTAGGAAAAAGTTGGGCAGCCCAGGAACAGAAAGCATAAAACCACAGCAGCCAAATGGGGAGCTGATATCAGGGGCTCAAGTGGGAAGAGAATGCTTTGAAAATGATGGTGGTGGCATATGTGCAAATGTGTTGACACACTGGATGTATGTATGGATTGTGATAAGAGATGTAAGAGCCCCCAATTAATAGTCCTGGAAAAAAAAGACCCCAAACCATAGGAACCACATCTTTACCCACCACTGCTATTACCACCCCATCTCAAAGGGAAACATACAAAGGGAAGTGAACAGGGCAGAGAGGAAAAGAAAGCATAGAAATGTAACTACAACAACAACAGATACACTCAGGGTACTTAGCCTAGTTTCAAGAGCATGTAGAAATAACTTGGGGCTTGTCTATTATCACATGTTGGTGAGCTATTATGATTAATAATTACAGTTGCCCCTCAAGGACCCCTGCAGATAGCAAAATTCACAAGTAGATAAGTTCCTTATAGAAAATGGCATAGTATTTGTATATTACCTGTACACTTCTTGTATATGTTAAATAATCCCAAGAACAATTATAATACCTAAAACAATATAAATACTATGTAAATAGCACTTTACCTTCCCTCTTAGCTTCTGAAGAATTAGTCTGACAAATATTTTGACCCAAAATTACTTTGACCCAATATTTTCCATGTATGATTTGTTGATTCTACAGATCTAAATCAGCAGGTACTAAATAAGCAGATATAATAGGTGGTTGACTGCAATTTCAGGGTAGTTTACACATTTTCCCCATTATCATATCTCTGAAATACAAGCAATTTCAAAACAATTGGCATATATTCTTGGTCAAATTATTACATAATATTATTGATTGTCAGATAATGAAGATAAACATTAATAATTAAATTACTGAGGCAAATACCAACAGCTCTTATCTCCACAGTTCCATGATTCTTACCTGTTCACTCTTCTAGGACACTTGTCTGGTTTAATATCCACCTCATAGAGGTAGACATCAATCTTTGGGATTTCAACTTGAAAACAGTTAGCCAGTAGCTTAATGGGTTTGCCCATGGTGCCATACCCGGGTCTTCTGGGCACCATGAGTAGGGGCTGGGCCCCAACGGGTCCTGCCAGGGAAGGGAGAAAAAAAAAAGTAACATCATTATACACCTCATTTGATAATATTATCAACCAGACAATGTTAGAATTATATACACGGTTGAAGCCTAATGCTAAAAGATAACATCATTCTTAACATTTCAGCTTCCTTTACCTTAATTTCTTTTCTTCTTTAAAAAACAAACAAACAAACAAAATCAACTTTCTATCTCTTTCCAGTAAGGAAATAATGAGCAAAACTGAATGAAATAAAAACAATATACAATAAGAGGATTATTTGAAAGGATTCATTTCTTCAGAGAAAAACCTACAGATACACAAAAGTACATAAAATCTAGAAAGTTATTTAATAAAATTAAATTCACAATTAAAAAATATTTCCACACATATAAAAATAAATCTCAGGTCTAAATAGTTTACTAAGATTATAACTACAGCTATTTAAAAAGAAAATATAGCAAACAAAGAGGGAAGGAGAGTGGAACACATTCTGGACCACCAAGCCCAGAGGACTATATTCCTGCTCAGAGCAGCCAAGGCACAGAGAGGACCATAGGGCCAGCCTCACCACAAGATGAGATGTCCCTCACTGACCCATAGCACTATGAGGGACAACAATGGAGGCACAGTGCAGGAATTGTGCCCAATCTGAGCTAACCACACTGGGTGAAATGCTAACTGCATGCAACAGAGCAGCAAGGGGAGCAAAGCAATGAAGTCCCTGGGGCATACCAAAGATAGACTTTGGGGTCAAGGCATGGCACCCCATCAGACTCAACCAAAAAACACTTCTAAAAGTCAACAAACAACAGAACTGGAACTATTTACAGGCTTTTCTTTTTTTGTTGTTGTTGGTTTTTTGTTGTTTTCTTTTCTTGTTTTGCTCTGTCTTGTTTTTGTGCTTATTATTATTATTATTTGTGCTTGTTTTGTGCTGCATGTCTATTTAGATAAGATAGGTGGGATAAACAATCTGGTAGAAAAAACAATGGGATTGACAGTTCCAGGGGGGACATGGGAGAGGGGAGGCAGAGAAAGGAAGTGGGTTTTAACAAACCCAGGGATGAGGGAACAACAAGTGATCCAAAATCGATGGCAAGGAGGGTGTAGAATGCCTAGTAGGGCTTGACCCAGGGCAATATGACCGAGAGGAATTACTGAAACCAAAAAGAAGGCCAAACATAATAGTGGGACAAGAGGAAAGGAAAAGGAAACAGAGGAATGAACTAGGAGGCAAAGGACATTTATAGAGGTCTAAATACAGTCATATACATATGTAAATATATTTTTATATAAGGATAGGGAAATAGATCTATGTACATATATTTATATGCTAAGTATTAAG